TAATAGGATTTTTTTTTCAAATGGAACCCCATTATATGAATAGGTTATTAATTTCTCTAATTAATTCCCTATGAATGATTAACTCGGTATTTTTCAATCTCTTGCAATTTTTTCACAATGTTTGAATAAAAATTAATGTGGCTAAATCTCTAAACATTTCCAAATTCTTGTCTTAGGGCAAATTGCCAGCAACAGAATTGCTGGTTTAAAAGGTATGTGGGTTTCTTAAGGATTTAATATCTATTGCTAAATTCACATAAAGTTTAAATTATATGTTATGCTTTTGTGTCTCTGGAGGCAATTAATTACATTCGGAGTCAGGAATCCTGAGTGTGATACTCCCTTATAATAAGTTATGGCTGGGTGCATTTCTACACGTACACGTTTATCTGCGAACTGTTTTGATATGACGCTTCTTTAAGGTAACTCAGGAAGAATTGCAGTACACATTTATGTGGCCATCTTTCTGCTTCCTCCCAGGAAATGTTGTTAGAGAAAGAAAAAAAAAATCACTATATGTTTCTGAGTTTCCAGAGAATTTTTTTTTTTTTTTGAGACAGTGTTTTGCTCTTGTTACCCAGGTTGGGGTGCAATGGCGCGATCTCGGCTCACCGCAACCTCCGCCTCCTGGGTTCAGGCAATTCTCCTGCCTCAGCCTCCTGAGTAGCTGGGACTACAGGCACACGCCACCATGCCCAGCTAATTTTTGTATTTTTAGTAGAGACGGAGTTTCACCACGTTGACCAGGATGGTCTCGATCTCTTGACCTCGTGATCCACCCGCCTCGGCCTCCCAAAGTGCTGGGATTACAGGCGTGAGCCACCGCGCCTGGCCCCAGAGAATTTTAAACCGATTTTCTAAGACTCTTTCTAGCTCTTATAGTTTAGGTTGGTGTTCGTTTTATCTCAACACAATTGAGTTTCTTTCTTTCTTTCTTTCTTTTTTTTTTGAGACGGAGTTTTGCTCTTGTTACCCAGGCTGGAGTGCAATGGCGCGATCTCGGCTCACCGCAACCTCCGCCTCCTGGGTTCAGGCAATTCTTCTGCCTCAGCCTCCCGAGTAGCTGGGATTACACACACTTGAGTTTCTACTACATGATTAGTAATGAGGCCTGTGTATGAAGAAGGGCGATGTCCGGGGAAAAGAGTCACGTAGCAATGGTAAGCGTACATTGTCAGAGGCAAGCTGTATAGTGTCAGCAGTCGCGCCCCAGGAAAGTCTGGCTGGCCTATAGAATGAGGACATGAGGTCTGGGAAGGTACTGTGTTGGCTGGAACTCTGATTAGCACCTAGAGAAAACCACCTCAAATTAACTTAGCAAATAGGGCTACGTTTATTGACTTGTATAATCAGGCCCTAGGGAGGTCAGGGTTGGAGCAGGGCATGACTGAAGCGGGAGCTTTCTTTCTTTCTTTCTTTTTTTTTTTTTTTTGTCTTCTATTTTCTTCGTTGTCTTGGAATTTTCTAAGCTGTGGCTGGAATTAAGGCTCCTACCTTGAAAGTCTTAAGTCCAGAGGGAAAAAAGTCATTCTCTGAGCTCCAGTTTGAAAAAGGCTAAGGGATCACTCTGGTTGGCCTGTCTGGGGTGATGGGCCCACCACACGGAACAGGTATTGGGTCGAGTAGAAAAACCATGATGGGCCAGCTGTGGCAACCCCCAGATGGGGATGTTTCCTTAAGAGGAGGGAAAAGGGTGCTGGACAGAAAAAAAAAAACAAAAAAACCCAACCATGAATGCTTAAGTTGGGCAGCATTTCTATAGGCAAAAAAAAAAAAAAAAAAAAAAAAAAAAAAAAGAATTTAGCAGAGGATGTAGCAGGTGATCAAAATGTACGAATTGAATAAATAAATGAATGAAAGGGCAGTGGAAAAGAAAGTATCCTTCTTGGTTACTAGAAGTCGACATCAATTATTTCTTTTCATCTCCATGAAACCTCCCATACGTAGGGTCCCATTTTGCGGTTACGCAAAGTGGAGAGCAAGAGTTCACCCCCGCCGTTACACTGCTAACGGGATGCGCGCCTGTAAAGCCGCGAACTGTGCAGCCCAGTCTCAGAGAGTGTTTTGGTTAAAAATCCCAACAGGCCGGGTGCGGTGGCTCACGCTTGTCATCCCAGCACTCTGGGAGGCCGCGGCGGGCGGATCACGAGGTCAAGAGACTGAGACCATCTTGGCCAACACGGTGAAACCCCGTCTCTACTCAAAAATACAAAAATTAGCCGGGCGTGGTGGCGGGTGTGGTGGCACTCGCCTGTGGCCCTGGCTGCTCGGGAGGCTGAGGCAGGAGAATTGCTTGAACCGGGGAGGTGGAGGTTGCAGTGAGCCGCGATTGCGCCACCGCGCTCCAGCCTGGCGCCTGGCGACAGAGCCAGACTGTCTCAAAATAAATAAATAAATACAGAACAAAGTAGACAACAACAAAACCACATTCATCTATAATCAAAAGAGAGTTTCAGAATAATTGAATTTTTCCTTGGGTTTCCAGAACGCCGCAAAGAGGAATCCTCTCCTTTCTGTGATCTCCCACTTCTCTCACCCTGCACTGGCTGGAGGGCCTTTGTTTGCATCTCCGGGGGCCCAGTCGCTACTCTGCATTCCAAAGCCCGAAACCACTGGTCTGGGAGAGAAAGACTTTCCTGGGATCTAAGGGGAGAGAAGTCAGGCAAGAAGCTGTTTTAATGAGTGAGTTGGGGGAGGCTGTGAAAATTCCTGCATTATTAATTTCGTTAGAACCTGCTTGACCTACTTTTTAGTGGCGCTGTGATTCTGACTCAGATCTCTCTCAGATCTGTGTGCTTTGCCCCCTCAACATTCTACCCGGCGAGAGCCGCGAAAAAACTTGGAAAAAGACTGAGGTTTTTCTCTTCTTACCCCAAGTTCTGACTTCCTGATTTCTGCTATCCTAAAACGTATGTAATCTCTATCACATAATTAATCACCGAATGATGTACAATAATAGTCTGATTTTCTCATTATTTCCTGTGTTTGACTTAGGTCAACACAGCAGGTCGCTGTTCCCTCCCTCTGGGGTACCTTTTTCTTGCTCTGCCCTCTGGTGAATGCCTGCTCATCCCTCAAACCCCAGCTGGCGTGTTTTCTCCACTATGCCTTCTCTAGGGCTTTGCAGGATTCTGTGAACATGTTTTTACTGTTGACTTATCAGTGTTTTGTAATTGTTGTTTACCTGTGTGCCAACCCCAGGAAAGTTTGAGTTTCTCTAGGACAGGGGCCAGCCTTATCCATCTATGCTCCCTCCAGTGTCCAATGTGGCTTCTGTCACCTAGTAGGTGCGCAATAAACATTTTTTGAATGAGTAAAAAACGAATGACTGGGTTTTTCCTGTGTGTAGCAGAGGGCTGCGCACCAAACAGGATGCTGCTAGCATCAGCTGATTGATGGATATGAGAGCAGGGGGAGATGCCGTAAGTCCTGGAAAAGGGAGTGGCGTTATGAAATTCATGTTTCAAGAGATGAGTTGTGGCAGTCAGATCTGTTACTTGAGACTTTCAGACCTTTGAATAATTGTCTGTGTTTTGACATTCTTCTGTAGCATTGGGGAAATAAATTGAACTAATGGGAAAAAAAGTCTTCTAGGACATTCTCAGAAGTAACTAATACTGACTCAGCAAAACAAGACTTCCCAAAGGATCCTAGTACGTTTCCTTGCTCCCCAAGGTTCTGGGAGTAATTTTCCTTGTGCTTGGTCTCCCTTCTGCTTTCTGCGCTCACGGCTGTTCGTGCACTCCACCGCTCAAGTGAGATTTAGAATAGGTTTTCCTTTATATTTACCACTCTACCAATTTTTCTTCATAGGAAATTGGATCTTTTAGGATTGGCTCACATTTGATGGACAAGATTTTCAAGCATCCCGTAAGGACTTGTATTCAAGAATAAAATATTCTCTGGTCTACAGGACTCATATTTGGAATCTCCAAAGCTGGATTGCTGCTGCCTGGATCAGCCCAGCACAAGTCCTGCCAACCTGCATCTTGGCATGTGCTTGGGTTCTGTGTGTTCTCACATGAAGGCAGAGTTTATAGATGTTCAAACAGAGAGAGCTGAGAGTTGGTGATGCTAAGTGTTGCTTAAGGTCACACAGCTCCAGAAGAAAGTCCCAGATCTGAAAAACGGATTTCAGGAGAATCTGGAAAGAGAAAGACCAGTTAGAAAATGGTGAGGTTAGAATTATTTAGGGACGTTTAAAACTAAGGAGAGTGTGCTCAGCAAGTGCTGAGTGACACTAAGCTGCTGACATAATTTGAGAAACTTGTGTGACTTAAAAATTCTTGTTTGATGACATAAGAAAGGCAACAGAATCAACTTTCCCTTGGGCAGGCATTTGAGAGATAGTTCATTCTGTGTAAGTGGCCATAATTTTTTTAATTATTTTTATTTATTTTATTGAATTTTAGGTTTTGGGGTACATGTGAGGAACATGCAAGATAGTTGCATAGATACACACGTGGCAGTGTGATTTGCTGCCTTCCTCCCCTTCACCTATATCTGGCATTTCTCCCCATGCTCTCTCTCCCCACCTCCCCACCCCCCGCTGTCCCTCCCCTATTTCCCAAACAGACCCCAGTGTGTAGTGCTCCCCTCCCTGTGTCCATGTGTTCTCATTGTTCAACACCCGCCTGTAAGTGAGAACATGTGGTATTTCATTTTCTGTTCTTGTGTCAGTTTGCTGAGAATGATGGTCTCCAGGTTCATCCATGTCCTTACAAAGGACACAAACTCATCATTTTTGATGGCTGCATAATATTCCATGGTGTATATGTGAAATGGCCATAATTTACACAATATGGAGTTAGGCCTTCTCAGTGTTTTGTTGCTGGCCATTGCTACCTGCAACTGCATAGTCTTCTGTAGATAGATTAAAATGTTAACTTAAACCAGTCATAATCTTGAATTCCATTTTAAAATGTCATTTGTCTGAGTACTAATTTATAAAGATGAAAAAAAATCCAGTGTGGCTAATCCAGCTTTTCATTGTGTGTCAGCTGCAGGCGAGGAAAGAAAGATACAACAAAGGGCCTGCCCTCTGGGAGCTCACAGTTCGAGGAAGGGTCAGAAACCTCATCAGTCCTGGTGGTGACAGAACCATGGAAGTAGCCCATCCTAGAAACCTGGTAAGTGATACCTTATGTCCTGAAGGATGTGTTAAGAATGATTTGAATTAGAGAAAGACGCAAAGAATACAGCGTGGACAAGAGCATTGAGTTGTAAACAGCTGTTATTTCAACATGAGTCATCAACCAAATTAACATCAGCAGAGATACTGTCTCTATCTCAGAAGTTTTCATGCATTTCTAATTATATATTTTACATGTTTGTGAAGACAGTTTTTCCCGTTTTTAGATTTCTGGTTGACTTTGCTGCTGCTCTTCCTGTTTCCCTTCCTTCATGTCTGCTGTTGCTATTTAGATGTGTGCTATCCGTTGGATTTCAACAAGAAAAAAGGTAAAGATCACATTGATTAAATTATCATCCTGAAAAAGACACGTAAGGAGGCAGTTTGGTTCACAGATTCATGTAAATCCAGTGCATGGAAATGACGTATAACAATCTGGTATGTGAAAAGTCAGTTAGAAAATGGTAAAGTTCAGGTTTTGCCTCTGGTATTCTGTTATTTGAATTTTGTGGCAAAAACTCCCCCAAATTCATATTCTAGTAAGTTTAGTGTGACGATTTTAATACCAGCAGCTACGATTTTAGGAAGGCTCAAGAATTTTGGATTCAGAGAGGTGTGCATTTTATTTTTAACTCATTGCTTTTTTTTTTTTTTTTTTGCGAGATGGTGTCTCACTGTGTCGCCCAGGCTGGAGTGCAGTGGTGTGATCTCAGCTTATTGCAACCTCCCCCTCCCAGGTTCAAGCCTCAGCCTCCTGAGTAGCTGGGACTACACATGCGTGCCACCACGTCCAGCTAATTTTTTTTTGTATTTTTTGTAGAGACAAGGTTTCACCATGTTGGCCAGGATGGTCTCGATCTCCTGGCCTCCCAAAGTGTTGGGGTTACAGGCGTGAGCCACCGCACCTGGCCACTCACTGCTGTTTTTACTTTGAGCTAGTAACTTCCTTGAGCTTCAATTTCTCCATTCATAGAACAGAAGAGAAATATGCAAGTGCTATTTTGGGATAAAATGACTAACGTTTAGTAATGCTAAGTGCAGGACCTGGAACATAGAAGGTGCTGGATAAATAATTGTCTTTATGATTATTTTGCTAGCTTCATTCCCTTTGCAAAATTATATTGCTTGGGGATTCAATATGCGACATTCAGAGTCCAACTTCATAGTCTGAGGTGCAAATTAACCTCCAGAGTGATTGAGAGTGCAAAAGATCAACTCCTCTATTTGTCAGTAGGAATACAAAGTCTGTAAGTCCAGTCAGCCTGGTGCAGCTCCTTCCCTGTTACATATTCAGAGGGCTCCTGGGTTTCTCAGGGAGAGTCCAGTCCAGCTCTGCTTGGTTGTGATGTGCTGTGTTGGTGGTTGTGAATGACAGTGAATGCTAGCATGAATAAATTGAATGTGAAGTGGAGATGGTGAATGTGGTTCTTAACTCTTTTTTTTTTTAGACGGAGTCTTGGTCTGTCGCCGGGCTGGAGTGCAGTGGCGCGATCGTGGCTTACTACAATCTTTGCCTCCTGAGTTCAAGTGATTCTCCTGCCTCAGCCTCCTGAGTAGCTGGGACTACAGGCACCCGCCACCACGCCTGGCTAATTTTTTGTATTTTAGTAGAGACGGGGTTTCACTATGTTAGCCAGGATGGTCTTGATATCCTGACCTCGTGATCCACCCATCTCAGCCCCATAAAGTGCTGGGATTACAGGTGTGAGCCACCGTGCCTGGCTGGGTTTCCTAACTCTTAAGGTGGCAGTACCTGCTTGGGTGGCATTGCCTCTACACCAGCTTTCACACTTTTGTCAGGGGAGAGGAGGATACCAGTTCCTTAGTGTACCTGGCACTTCTCTCACCAAAGAAGAGAGGGAAATAACCAACCAGACAAACTCAATTTTCCTCGTCACCAAATACACAATAAATTGTTGGAACATTTTGTTGGCTATGTCAGGGCAAATGGCCAGAGAGATCATTGCCAGGTCCCGTAGCAGGTGTCTGACCACTTATTATCCATAGAATTCCAGGGCAGCACGCTTCCATCTAGCAATGGTGGGGATCTGTCTCGGGGGAGAGAACCAAATTCTGGGAGCAGCAGCCCATCTTCTAGCAAGATCAGGGATTGGGATTTTATTTTATTTCTTCTTACTTTTTTGAGACAGGGCCTCACTCTGTTGCCCGGGTTGGAGTGCTGTGGTACAATCGAAACTCAATGCAGCCTTGACCTTCTGGGTTCAAGAAAATCTCCCACCTCATCCTCCCAAGTAGCTGGGACTATAGATGCATACACCATGCCTAGCTAATTTTTAATTTTTTCTTTTTTTTTTTGAGTCTTACTAATGTTGCCTAGGCTGGTCTTGAACTCCTGGCCACAAGCAATCCTCCTGCCTTAGCCTCCCAAAGCACTGGCATTACAGGCATGAACCACTATACACATCCCTAAGGGTTGGGAATGGATCTGGCAGGACCTTGCCTCCATGCCTATCCTGTCAGCCAAGTGTTTATGATTTCAGAGGCATTAGTGCCTTTGTTGGCAGGACTGGGGACTGGGATTCAGCCTTGAGGTTGTGGTTGGTGTGATAGGATGAGCTTATGACATGATTCACCACCGCAGTGTTCACAGCTGGGGAAGCATTTGTCCCATTCCTGGTGTAATTGGTGTGGGCGAGGCTGGGGTCCAAGTGTTGCAGCTGCCTGGAGTTGACTGCCTTGCCTACTTAGCAGTGGCTGTTTTCCATGGATATTTGCAGAAGGTCTGTTCCTTTTTGGAAGATGGTCTGTACGGAATGACCAGACACAAGGTAATCTCTATCACTCATGTGGCATGTAAAATACCGATCAGCTATTGATGTTACCATTGAATATTAAAACTAGAATTGCTTTGTTCTACTCTGTTAGCCATTAATACAAATTTATTTATTTTTCTCCACTTTAAGCAACAAAATAATTGAGGGCTGCGGGAGTTTGGCATCTGATCCTGTTCCCTGGGCTTGTAGTAGGACCTTATTATTTGCAGTGGTTATGAGTCTGGCCTTAATCCACAATATCCTTGATAAAGATATAGAGAAGGAAGTCCCTGTGGACTTCCATGTAGCTGTTTGTTCATTCATTCATTAAACTTATGCTTACTCATGATCTGCTGATTACATGGAGCAGACTTATGGAAAAACACGACTTGGGGGATTAATAGCTTGCTCAGAAAGGAAGATGAGCCTGCCAGTATAACCAATGTAATAAATGCTGCAGTAGGAGTAATTGCAAAGTTCTCTTGAACCATAGAGGTGGGAGTAATTAACTTGGCCCTGAGTAACTGGGGAGAATTCACAGTGGGTCTGCTGTTCAAGTCAGGCCTTGAAATGTGAACGAGAGCCTCCCTAGTAGAGTAAACCTTCCAGGTAGGGAGCATAACTAGTGGAAAGGCCTGAGGGTGGGAGGACCATGACTTATCCATACAGTGGCAAAAAACCAGTGGGGCTGGAATATAGATTTGAGGCTTCTAGTGGTGGGTATGTGTGTGTGTGAGAAGAAAAGTAAGGACCAGTCTGTGTCTAGGAGTGAGGGAAAATCTGTAGAGTGAAGAGACTACTTAGGGGCAGGGGAGGGGTGTCCCACTATGGGTGGGAATTCAGAAGCCTGCTTTTCTAACACAGGATTTCCCCAGATATGTCTCATGGAGCACTAGCCCCTGAGATATTCTTGGACTGAAAGATTTGCAGACAAACAAATATGGGAAACATTGCACTATCTTTGTCTCTATGTATTCACATATAGGCAGTAACATCACAGAAGCTCCGAGAAGTTATGTAGGAGAAAAATCTGTTCAACTCTGTTTAACTTCATACTTGGTTGGCTTATTTGACTGTGATTTGATTTCGTGTTATGAGGTGCTTACTAATATCCCAGAGCATTGGCATCCTTTGTTCCATGAGCGGGAACTTATTCTAGGGATATATAAACTCAGAAAGTGGATCTGGAAGGGGGAGAAGACAGGTTGGCCACATAGTTTGTTAGCCAAGGACCCAAGATGCCTGTCTATGAAGCTCTGGGCTTCATATTGAGGGTACCTTCATAATGAGGGTACCGAAGGCAGGTACTCAGAAGAAGTAGAGACAGAGACAATATTGTACTTGGGAGTAATACTGGGGACCCAGCCACAGACGGATGGTTTTTGGGGGTGTGCACCCAGCCCTAGAGCACTAGACACTGGGAGGCTGATGCAGTAAAGTATGAGTAGACTCAAGAGAAGCCTGGAATGAAAAAACAATTTTTAAAGGAGCCTGGCTTAGGAACAGTTTACGTGAGACCTCGTGTATTCTTGCAAAGTCTCCAGCCCTGTGGGGTCCGGGTGGGGTGTGGATGGTTGCCAAAGGGGATTTCATTTCCGGGAGCTCAGAGAATAGGAGATCATCCAGCACACCCAGTCACATTCTCGCTCCTGACTCACTTCCTTCTGCTGCCCTCAGGACATATTCCTACCCTTAATGTGGCTTATGGGGTCCTTTCTTTTCCGTTCCCTGCTGCTAGCTCCCATGTCTTGTTTGAAGTTCTCACCCACCCCATGCTACAGAATTCCTTGCGGTCCACAAGCAATGTCACCCTCTGTCTCATGCTGTTAAATCTACCCCCATTGAATGCTTACGATGCATTAGGTTCTGTGCTAAACACTTGACATCGGTGACTTATGTGTAGTGTTACAGTAATCCTATAAGGTAGAGGTGTCACTTAGGAATGTATTTGGGATAAATTACAGAAATATCCCATTCACAGTGGTTTAAACAAATATAGATATGATTTCTGCTACAGAAGAAGAAGCCAGAGGGGGGCAGCTGTCAAATTCATTCTCAGTGGTGCCCCTAAAGGCCCCAGACTCTGGCTGTCAGTCCGTCTTCCTTTGCCCTCTGGGGATTGTCTTCGCGTTTTGGCCTCATGGTTGTGAGGTGGATGGTGTACCTACCTCTGGGATCATGTGACATTACACTTTACCTAGAATGTCTGAGCAAAGCCTTCCTGGACCCCCTCAACTGTTTCTAGTTTTGTGTCATTGGCAAGAGGTACGGCCCATAAATTTCCCAGCAGAAGAGAAGCTGGGAGATTTAGCTTCTAGTCTTCATGGTTGAGGAGGGCAAGGGTGAAATGCATTGGGGATGGGTATTGGGGTAGCCAACCTCCAGGGCCTGCCCGATAGGCAGTGTCACTACCACATTAGAAGACCAAGCTGCTCAGGAGGCCAAGTTAACTGGCTTGGAGTCTCATGGCTGCTAAGTGTCAGAGGCAGATTCCAAGCTGAGTCCTGACACCACAGCCTATGGTGGTTTTACTGTTTCTGATTGCCCCCTTCTCAGATTCTCAAAGTTCACCTCAACCTATGTTTACTGAACATCTACTGCACCAAAAGCTCCGTATTGGTGTCACACACGGATACACAGATGAGGGAAACATTGTTCCTGCCCTTAAGAAATTCATCACCTTGATGGGAGGAGACAGATATGCACATATGTATCGCCAGTTTGAGGTAGTTTCTTTCTTTTTTTTTTTTTTTAAGACATTGTCTTTCTCTGTCACCCAGGCTGGAGTGCAGTGGCGCAATTTTGGCTCACCACAACCTTTGTCTCCTGGATTCAGGTGATTCTCGTGCCTCAGCCTCCAAAGTAGCTGGGATTACAGGCGGGTAGCACCTTGCCTGGCTGATTTTTGTATTTTTAGCAGAGACAGGGTTTCACCATGTTGGCCAGGCTGATCTCAAACTCCTGACCTTGTCATCCGCCCGCTTTGGCCTCCCAAAGTGCTGGGATTGCAGGTGTGAGCCACTGCGCCTGGCTGTGAGGTAGATTTTAATGGTTAACATCACTGAAGCCCAGACAGTAAGTTGTGGGTATTCTGAGGGAGAGAAGAATTCCGCCTGTGTGATTCGGAGGAGGCCCCCTGGAGAAAGAAGTTTATCTGGGTCACCTGTATGGAGATGTTGCTTTTATAAACGTTGGGGCGGTTAGTTTTTGTTTCATTCAACCTAAGGAAAATTTAATGTATTTTGTCCTGGGTCTTCTCAGGCATTGTTTATGGGGGAAGTTAATGCAGAGGTATAATCTTTGAAAGTAAATCAACTGACCATGTTTCTGTCCTTATTGTAATATCTCCATAAAAACCATAATCATGTACTTTAAACCAAAAGTCTGTCTAGTCTATGAAATTAAATTCATGAAGTAAAACATTCCCAAACAGTAATAAACACAAGGCAATTTAAAATAAGCATAACCCATGATATATTTTCCTAAACAAGTTTAAGTGTCAGGTTGCGTTCCATAAAGAAAAGTTTTTATATTCCAATTACACGGGAATAAAATGACAGAGGAACCATTTTTAACCCCACCACAAAAGACAATGCAATGTACTGTTCTTTCAGTGGGAGAAAAATTGGTTATAATAGATTTGAGAGAAAGTGAAGTGAGAATGCTTTTAATTATAAATCTTAGCAAAAAAAAGACCTGTCAAAGTTAAAGGGCAAAGGGCATGACCAGAATGTTCACAGAAGAGGAAAAAACAAAAGGCAAAAGACATGTAAGAAAATGGAAAGAAATCGAGAAATGCAGAGAAAAGTGATGCAGACATTTTCTTTTTGTCTGTTAAATTAGAAAAGAATTTTAAAAGGATAAATCTTTGGCAAGAATTTGGTGAGATGGCAGTTTCTTATGACTGTTGTAAGCCTGCAAAGTAATATAATCTTACTGGGAAGCAATTAAATGGTATATATCAAGAAACTCAAAACATTTATACGATTTAATCCAGTAACTCCACACTTAATTTGACATGTTAACAAAGATGTATGCAGAAGGATATTTATTTCAGAATTATTTATCATAATATAAACACGAAACGTTTAAACATTTAATAACAGGGGATTGGTCAAGGACATTATAGTTAGTATTAATATACTATAAGACACAATAATCTAGTTATTATGAAAAACATTTTGAAAACCTAGTGATATGAGGGAAATTCTAGCATAATGTTAAATGTATAAATAGTGCAATTGCAACTGTAAAAAAAATTAATAGGAAAAGTCTGGAAGGAAATTGTTGGGCTGTGGCATCTGGGAAAGTTTATTATTTAAATATTTTGTACCTTTTACGTTTTCTTCATTGAGTACATGTGATGTTTATGAGAAGCGAAGAATGACAGTAAGTCTGACCCCTGAATCTGCCAGGTGAGACTGGACGCCCTTGGTTGTCTCTCTCAGACATCAGCTTTGCAGCTGAGCCTTGTGGCTGGATGACAATCCTGAGCTTGATGTCTGCCTGTTTAGAAGCTTTCTCTTGGGAAGGTAATGGCTGCTTCAATTCATCGCAGTCCTCTGCCAGCACAAGGTTGTTGAAGAAATCCCCACAGGATTGCAGTGTTTGAAGCGCAAGGCAAGGCAAGGAAGCCATGACTGAGCCAGCTCATGTTTCCCACTGTGGTCAGGTTGCAGGCTGCTGCCATTCTGGCTTAGCAAGGGAACAGAGCTGTCAGCTGTGTGCTTGGAACACAGACGTGCTGTTCAGGAAGACAGCTTTACAAAGCATCGGCACCTACATCTGGAGGGTTTTAGCATCTCTGTATGACAGCCATGGCGTCCACCAGCTGATCAACTCAACTCTATGGTAGCTGTGAGCTGGCTGTAAACCCTAGGGAGGTTTGTGGTAGTCCTGGAGTTGGGGCAGGATAATAAGCAGACTATAGGCAGGATCAATCTCCCTTTTAGTGTCTAGTTGTGGTGCGTCTCTAAATTACACAAACTAAGTTTTCTTGATAATACTTGGTTTATTTCAACTTATAATAATAATAATGATAGTCACTCAGCACGTATGCTGGGCCCTTCACCTACAGTATCTCATTTAATTAAATCTTTGCTAACATCCTTTGAGGCTGGTGTCACTGTCATCATTTTATAGTTGGGAAACTGCCTTAAATCTCACCAAATTATGGCAGAGCAGATCCAGGATTCAAAGTCAAGTCACTCTACTTCCAAAACCATCATGTAACCAAAGCCCATTCTGTAAACAGAACGCTAATGTTTCCCCAAGTTTTAGTCATTTTAATAATCACTGTTTTCACCAAAGCCACGCACCATCTATACCGTCTATACTCTATGTGTTCAATATTTTTAAGTCAACTTATTTTTTTCAGTTAAAAAAAATTACTCTAATACTAAATAGTAATTGATGTGAAATTACGCATTTAAGTGCTGGTTGTGTTTTTCTAACGTGTACAATATAACAAAGAATGATAAGTTTTGATCCCTGTGTTTCCTAAAATACTTGCAATACTGTGTATTGCACTTTGGGAAACTACATTATGCTGCTTCCTTCAGCCTGGGTCAAAAGGGGTCTCTTTGACGATGTCATCCTAGGTGCGAATATTGTTATGGAGATTCCCGCATTAGAGAAGGAACTGATTTATACGTTTAAGGGTAACAATAACGTGAATAATCTCATGATACTCTACTCTTGCCAATCCTCAGGTTCTTCTCTGATTTTATAGTCTCCATGAACAACTGAGATTTTGGGGGCTTATAATTGCTGGATGCTCTTACTAGTATGTCAGTGAGATGTGTAGAGAGTTTATATGATTTTATTGTTCTGTAGCATACTCCTTACGGTGCTAGGGGTAACAGTTAACCAGTTTCTCATCACTAGTGGTCATATCTTTCTGCCCTTGGTGGACTCTGACTGGCTGTAATTGGTTCTTTCTGATATATCTATCCCAAGGAAAATGGTTGCTCGTAAGAACGCCTGCCATCTTCTCCTCGCATTTTCCATTCTGAGCTCAGCCTCCGACGTGTGCTGCTCGCAGGCACCCACACTGCTGCACGGGGCTCCCAGCTCACAGGTCCAGCGCATCACGCTTGGAGAGACCAGAGCAATGGCGCAGAATTTCCGTGTCATCGAATGTGCAGCGTCAGTGTGTGGACAGCTTTGGGAACCTCTTAGGACGACTTTATTTTGCTTCACAGTGTGAGACCTCGCTGGATGGCTAAGTGCTGTCAGTCATGCATTGGCCATAAAACATTTATCTGATACAAAGTCTCAGAGAGAAAAGTTAACATCGCTTCACCCCTGTGCTGTAAATGGATGACACTTTCACTATGGTGGCACTATGGACAGAGAGTCTCAGAAAAACTGGAAAACAGCAAACTTGCCTCAAGAACAGAACGCTCGACTAGGGATGAGCAGGCCTTGGTTCTCATCCCAGCTCTGCCAGCTGTGTGACTGCAGGAAGGTCACATCTCTTCTGGGCTTCTGTTTGCTCATTTATAATGATATCTCCCTTACAGAACTGCTGAGAGGTACCTTGAGCATGCCGCAGCACATTGTCAATTAGAACCTTTCTGCTGCATTTACATATAAAATGAAGGAGTTAGGGCAGTGAACTTTGGACTTTTCCAAGCTCCAGGACACTGACTCCGGGGAGCAGGGAGAAGAACAGAGGGGTCTGAGCACATCACACAGGCATGTTTGGTTAGCTGTGCAAACAAGCTGGATGGCAGCATCCTCTGTTTCTATTAAGCTTCAAAACTTATTTGTGAGATATGGATTTGGGAGCTGCACTGAGGCAGAAACAGAAGAGAGAGGAATGAAAAAACATCAAGAATCGTTCAGTCATCCTCACCCTGAGGAACAGTTCAAAGGAATCAGTGTGGCGCAGGAAGGATAATAGCGCCAGGGACAGCCACCAAATATCTTGTTTATTGGCAAGAACAAAAACAAAAATAAACAAAACCCAAAATGTGCTGAAAAATAGAGTGGCTAAACCCAGTTATTGCACTACTGTGTTTTCTGGTGAGATGGCAATAAGAAGGAGTTGGTGACCTCTATGGTCGTCTTTTACAGAGCGATTTCGTTCTTTTTTTTTTTTTGAGATGGAATCTCCTTCCATTACCCAGGCTGGAGTGCAGTGGCGCAATCTCAGCTTACTGCAGCCTCCGCCTCCCAAGTTCAAGTGATTCTCCTGTCTCAGCCTCCTGAGTAGCTGGGACTACAGGTGTGCGCCACCACACCCGGCTAATTTTATATTTTTAGTAGAGATGGGGTTTCTCCATGTTGGCCAGGTTGGTCTCGAACTCCTGACCTCAGGTGATCCACCCATGTCTGCCTCCCACAGTGCTGGCATTACAGGAGTGAGCCACTGCACCTGGCCTACAGTGATTTAGTTCTGATATGTTAACTCTGAAGAGCCCCCAAACAGGAAATGATTTTAACAATAGTTACTGTGATTTTTCTAGTGATAGCTGTGTGCAAAGCATTTTAAGAGGGACATTGTCTTTAATCTTTATAGCAATGCTGTGAAATGGACAGTATCCCCTCCTTTGTACTGAGGAGAAGACAAGGGCAGGGTGGTTCAGCCATGTTCCTGAGGCTGGCTGCTTAGCAAACAGCAGAGCAAGGGGCTCAGATTCTGTTCTGTGTGACTCCGAAACCCATGCTCATGGCTGAATGCTACTTTAATCTTCACTCAGTAATTCTTTCTGAGAGGGTAAATCAACATCGTTGAGGTTCAAAAACATGACTTTTATTGACTCGGTTGCCAACCCTTGACAGACCATCAAGAGGAGTAGGGAAAAATATGTCGCTAAATATGAGGTTTGAAGTTTATTATGTTAGTTATCGTTCAAATAGGTTTTGGAAATCACTTATCTAATTAGCACGATGATTATTCGTCAGTTGTTTCTATGGATACTACTCATCTTATTACTCAAAATAGGCACTCATTTATGTGCTCAATTCTGCACAGTCTAGTCTTCCGCATCTGAGAGTTCTGACACAGGAGGGATTCCTGGTTTTTTTTTTGTAGGCTGTTTCTGGTTTCAGAGTCCTATCTTGTAAATACTCATCATGTACTTCCTCAGGTTTTGAGGTAAGTGAACAAGCAAAGCCCCCATGGATTTCATAGCTCGAGAACAGTGTTTCTCAAACTTGGCTACACATGAGAATCACCTGGGGGTGATTATCCACTCACAGAAAATCAGATTCTCTCCAGGGTAAGACCCAAGTGTCACTGATCTTAAAATCTTCTGGGTGTCTCCCGTGGACGTGTAAGTTTGAGTCCCATTGCCTCTTAGATAAACAGTTGCAAACATTCCTAAGCAAACATTCACAAAATTCTATCTCTGCACAGGGATGCCAGAACATGAAACTCATTCTCAAACTAGGTTGGACATTACACTCATTGGGTCGTAGGGTGGAGAGATGGGTTTATAAACACACTGATGCCTGGCCCTACCCTTGTCAGACTTTTAATTAAATGGTCCCTTGACAAGGCTGTGCTTAGCTCTGTTTTTTTAAATAGCCCCTTAGGTCACTCGAATAAGCAATCTGGTTTTGAACCACTGAGTCACATCTACTAATCTTGGGAGGAGGCCTAAGGCTCAAGAGTATCATGTTTCTGCTGCATTAATTTCCAGTAAGGCCTGATGCTTTTCAGCAGGCATCTTCCTTGTTCTGAAGTGGAAGAGTGAGAAATTCAACTTAAATAAGATTTTCCAGCAGTGTAGGGTTGGGGTGGAGTTCTAAAACCACCTTGCCAACCTGAATTATTGAATACCAATGTCAGCAATGATTGAAGCAGAGGGGCGGGAAGGTCTAATTTAGTTGCTCTGTTTGGCCTTGTTTGCTAGAATTTGGAGTCCCTTTTCCTTACAGAAATGAATGAACAGCAACAAATCAATGACCACATCACATTGTATTGGAACATTGAAAATACTCAGGCTGCTTGGTAACGTAAAACAGCCATGCTTGTATTAATTATTCAGTGGTAGGCAGCAATCTGTATTTTGAACGTTTTCCTATTATTCCAGCGAGGAGCAATTCTGCTTTTCACATGTGTAGCTTGTCTGTCTGTTTCTTTCCCTCGTTAGGCCTGCGGTAGTGCCGAGTTCAGCATGGCCCCTTCATCATAATGAGAAAGAACTTTTCTAATGACTAGGAGATTTCTAAATTAAACCTAAAATGTGTATTACAAAGATGCTAGACACACATCATGCATCACTGCTGCAATACGGGAATAGAATTCAGATAGAAACGATCTTTGCAAACGGCAATCCATTTTTTGCTACCACTTTTTGCATTCTTGACAATCTGGTTACCGGGCTGTGGAAAAGTGCTATGACTTGATTACTTACGCTGTTGATAATCACTGTGGTTTTTGGCAGAGCTGAGGTATTATCTCACAGACCTGCACTGCAGTAGGGAATGGGTGTAACCTCAAAATACTGCCAAAGTTCCTGTGGCGTTAGCCGACACCAAGGAATGTACTAAGTCAAGCACAGTTCTTAGGAGACTTCATTCTTTTACAGTGGTTTGCCGCAGACCAGTCCACATGCAGGGACAAGTTACACAAATGTGGTCCCTGGAGAAAGTGGGCTTCCCCGTAGCCCAAGAAGTCTACTGCTGTGGCGGTATTCAGGAACGATCTGTGTGTCCCACCTAATGCCCAGGTCACATATCCTCCCACTTAGAACTTTGGGTTAAAAGGGGAGGAAACATTTAAAAATATATATAATTCAAAAACCGACGGGGCAGAATGGCTCATGCCTGTAATCCCAGCACTTCGGGAGGCTGAAGCGGGTGGATCACCTGAGGTCAGGAGTTCCACGTCAGTTTGGCCAACACAGTGAAATCCCGACTCGACTAAAAACACAAAAATTAGCTGGGCATGGTGGTGGACGCCTGTAATCTCAGCTACTTGGGAGGCTGAGGCAGGAGAATCGGTTGAACCCAGGGGAAGGAGGTTGGTTGCAGTGAGCCGAAATGGTGCCACTGTATTCCAGCCTGAGCGACAGAGTGAGACTTTGTCTCAAAAAACAAGCAACTACAACAACAGCAACAAATGTATGGTGCCACCGCACTGTTTTCCAAAGGGAGAAAAGGCCACCACTGCAGGCTCAACGTTCTCTTTAGATCATACACTGATAAAGAAATGGGCCGGGCGCGGTGGCTCACATCTGTAATCCCAGCACTTTGGAGGCTGAGGTGGGCAGGTCACGAGGTGAAGAGATCAAGACCATCCTGGCCAACATGGTGAAATCCCGTCTCTACTAAAAATACAAAAATTAGCCAGGCATAGTGGCGCTTGCCTGTAATCCCAGCTACTTGGGAGGCTGAGGCAGGAGAATTGCTTGAATCCGGGAGGTGGAGGTTGCAGTGAGCTAAGATCTCACCACTGCACTCCAGCCTGGCAACAGAGTGAGACTCTGTTGCCTCCTCTCAAAAAAAAAAAAAAAAAAAAAAGAAATAGGAATGAACACAGACCTGTAATGTGGCAGATAACCTTTTGGAAGTGACTGCAAAAGGTAAAAGAAAGATAGAAGCCGTAGAAAGAGCTGTATTAAATGATTGCCTTATCACTCTTAGCTAACTCCTACCCTTGATTAAAAAAATTTTAAACAAATCATCTATGCCATAGTTGAATGTTCTTGGGGGAAAACAAAACAAAACAGACTCTGATTAGTCCAAAAACATCTCCGCAGGCAAGCTAAAGACTAGAGCTGATCTGATTTCTTTCAAAGAAGTCTCCTCTATCGTAACAAAGGTGTTGGTTATAAAGAGGAGCACCTAAACTAAGACCCCAATTCTTTTCACATAAGTCTTTGAACAGCTGTCAGATATGTGAACAAGTTTTAGACACCTGAGAACTGTGACTTTGGACAGGTGACCTGGAGATCCTCTGCCTTTGTTGTCACTTCCTGGGCCACCGCCATGGCAGATTACACAGTCATTATAGAAAATGGCATCACCCAGTTTTGTGTGAGACTACACCAGCATGAGTGTTTTTCCGGTTTAAGTGGCACTTATTCCTGATGGCTTTTGGTCTTGTCCCTGTCCTATTTCGTGATACCACTAAAGTCAGAAATTGTTACTATGTTTTATTTACCAACCCTGGCTGATCTTTGGCCATCTTGCCTTGTGAATTCTTTTCTTCTTGCGTGTTACCATCACCTAAATTCAGGCTGGCATGATTACATCATCATCCTCTTTGAATAGCTAAGGGGCATTTTAGCTCACTCCCCACCATTCTTCCCTTTACTGCCAGATTTTCATCTTAAATCAGAGATCAAATAATCTGATTGCTATGTTCAGGTTTTTCCATGGCTCCCCACTTGTGTTCAAATTTCTCATCATGTTAGTCCTCACCCCGGTGATCTTCTAACACTACTCCAGCCGGCTGTGCTGCTCCGCTAAAGCCTTTGGCCACGATCTCAGCTCCAGCTCTGCTGGGTGATTCTCCTCCCTTACTAACAGCATATGCAGAAGCCTTCCATGTTCACATTAACACACAGCTGCTCCCGCTTAGGACTCCATTCTCCTCTTTCTCCAGCCATCATAGTACACTCCCCTTGGAAGGCTTATATCCAGTGTCACCATTGAGAAGTCTTTTCTGCCTCAGGAAAGGGAGTATTTCTTCCTTTGTTCCTTCTACACTTGGCGTCTTGGTTGTCATAACTGATCCCCAGGCCACTCATTTTACAAATAGCTGTGAACTTACATAGTTTAACACGTGCTTCCTACAGACCAGAATTGCATCTTTTTTCACCCTTCTATGCACAATATTTGGCCCTCTATCTGAACACTGTAGGTGCTCAGTCAATGTTATACTCATGGGAAGCTTCTGTCCCACTGCCTATCGGGTGTGCCATTGCATGATAGATGAGTTGATCCGAATGCTCCCTGAGCTTAAAAGTTGGAGGAATAACCCAGACAGTAGATAACTATTTCCCTCCTGTATTGTCTTCTCCTGCTGGCCTCTTCTTTGACCCTGAGCCTTCCAGTCCCTTCCATCCTGCTCTCCCTGCC